CAGAAGCTGCGTGGCTTTGCCAAGGGCACCCGCTCACCGCTGCTCAGAGCCAGCGCTGCTGCTTCTTCATCCTCCTCCTCCACTTGCCTTGGCGGCGGGCTCGGCCCATCTGTGTGCAATCGGGAGACGTTCAATGAGTGCCCCAAGACCAGGGAGGGGACTGAGGGTCCTGGGGACCCAGCGGGGCACACTGGGCCACAAGGAGCGGATCCTGCGCTCCCCTGTGCTGCGGGAGATGTTTAGGTGGCCGAGGGCTGCACGGTCCCTCCCGGACCGTGCGTGGCTGAGGAGGGGGACCAGTCAGTAGGGCAGAAACGTGGGTGAGGACACGCGCGCTTGCACAAGCAGGGCTGCGAGCGTGCGAGGAGGGCACAGGCTGCAGGGCGGCCACTCACCCGGCGGCTCCTGGAGGCTGTCGGGCTCTGGGCTGCTCCGCTCCAGGTCCGACTGGCTCGAAGTCTGAAAGAGGACAAGCCCCGGTTGTGGTGCACATCCCCAAGGCACCCGCTCCATGGCCGTGGGGACACGGGTGGGACCCGATGGGACTCGTGCCAGCCCCGAGGAGGGAGCCCTGAGGGTCCTGGGGTCTGCGCGACCCGGGGCTGGGGCTTTTCAACTCCACGTTTCCCTCCGAAAGCCTTCCCAGAGGGGCAGGCACCCACACAGTGTGGGCTGCCGCCACTGCATCTGTCCCAGCCCAGGGGACCGGGGCCGTGCCTCCCTCTGCCAAAATCCTCCTGCTGACCATTTCCCAGCCTTACCAGAGGCTTCCTAAGGATTTCCTTGTTGCTCGGAGAGGCCAGAGGGCTCCAGCCATTGTCCTGGACAAGGGAGAGATGAAGGGGGGTGCTGGGGTGGGGTGCCAGCCATCCCCATGGCCCTGCAATGGGTGGGACAGAGCCCCCACGTGCCCGGCCCCCGGTCCGGCGCAGTGCATACCTGCAGGTGTTTGCAGACTGACTTCAGGAGCTGGTATGTGGCCTCCCGCTGACGCAGCGACACGAAGAGGAACTGCCGGGGAGCGGGAAGAGGGTTTGCGCCAGAGCTGCTCCCTCAGTCATGGCCCAGAGCCCGCTGGCTGCGGGGACCAGGACACCCCAAACAGCCCCGGGCTGAGCTGCCCCCTCACCACCATCCCCACTCTCACCTTCTCCCCCTCGGCCGTGCGGATGCTGAGCGCATTGGGCACCAGGAGAGCCGTGTTGGTCTTCTTGAGGGCCAAGATGGAGGTGACGGGGACCACCGCCTGCGCCAAGGGGGCCAGGCAGTGTCACCATGTCCCTGGCTGCTGCCCGTGCCCCCCGCTGGAGCTGCTGGCCCCGCGCCCGTCCCCAGCCCACCTTGATGTCCTTGAGCAGGAGGCTGGAGTGGAAGCAGACGTGGTGGGAGGAGATGTAGAGGCGGCCATGGTAGGGCACCTCTCTCTGCCAGGCGCAGGAGAAGCATGCCAGCAGCACTTCCCGCTCGGCGAGCTCCCCGAAGGCTTTGTGGTAGCTGGCGGCGCGCTTGCTCAGCTAGGGGGGAGGCCGGGACGTGGGGCCGGCATGGCGTGGTGCTCAGGACAGAGCCCTGGCACCACGGGCACCCCGCAGCCCCCCGCTCCATCGCCACCTCTGCCACGAAACCAGGACAGGCCCTCCCTCGGCACCCGCCTCGTAGAGAGCATCCCACCGGGACTGCGGCGCTGGGGCTGGGGCCCCCCCTCCTGGGCCCTGGTGCCCCGAGACTCACCGACGGGGACAGGTGTCCCTGCCTGCCCGCGGCCACCGCAGCCTGCTCTGTCTCCTTGCAGAAGGAGGGGTCACAGGTTTTGGATCTGGCAGGAAGCAGCAGGCAGGGGTGAGCTGCGGGGCTGCCTGCAGACCCGGCTGTGGCAA